GGAATTCATGGATTTGCTAATTTCTTGGATACTTGCTCCCAATTTGCCATAAGTTCTTTCTTTTTTTATATACTTATTATTAATTCTGGCCGCACACTTGAAACAAAAGACCATTAAATTGTTCTCTATTTCTTGCTTTTGCTCATTAGTAGGCTTATTTTTTTGTTCATTCATTAGTCTTTTGTTTTTCTCAATTAATTCAATCCTCATTTTGGGCTTGCTCTCATTGAGCCGATAATTTTAACAAATGGGGATTATTGGTGTAGCATTCTCGATAGGCTTGTTCTAATTTGTTTTTGTCATTCATATTAATCGTTTTTTGTTATTGTTGTAAGTGTTTCCTATAATGAGCGTAAAAATATCTCTTTGAGAAAATTTCTTTACACTCCTTACACTTTACTTTAGAATTATTTTTAGTGGGGGAAGAATGTTTTAACGCTTCTTCTAAACTAATTCTGCTATGGGTTTTCTTATCATCTTCTTCCGCCGCCTCGTCAAAAACCAAATTAGTGACATCACCGCTAAACTTATTGTCGGCGGTATCTTTTGATCTAGTTACTTGAACATTTTTAGAAGAATAAGGGCCATAAAAGGAAGTTGAAAAATTTTCTTTTTTTCAGCAAAGGTAACAAAGGGGAAAGGTGATAAGTCCACTACTTTTCATAATTTTTCCACAACATCTATAAATAATTCCAATAGTATTACCCGTTACATACTTTTCGATTGTTGATCAAAAAAGAGGCTGAAATTTTTTTAAGTCATCTTTCATGATAACACCAAACAACTCAACTAAGTGATTTATATCTCTGACATCTTCTTTTATGTCAACTATCTGACACTCTTTAAAAAATCTTTCAACAAAAGAGGCTAAGAAAGTCAAGTTTCCTTTTACTAAATAATCACTAGAAATAGTTCTGATAATATTTAACTTAAACTGTTCATAAGTCAATATTTTGCTAGAACCTATCAAATAGGGAGGCTGACCGAATTTAATAACATTTTTATTTTTTGCCCCCTCAACTTCTTTTTTTAAAGTGCCAGTGTCTAAATGCTTACTTCTTTTTATCATGCTGTTAATTAATCAATTTTTATACAAAATTATTTATTATTTCATCTTTTACTCGTTTTTTATCCATTTTGTTTCCACTCTTTAAACAAGGCTAATGTTTTATCTCGACAATCTAAGCAAGGAACATTATCGCCCGCTAAAAACAAATCTTGGGTAATATCTTCCATTAATCTTTCCCTCACCGATTTTTCTTTCGCCAAGACTTCTTTTTCTAGTCATGGTTTAGTTTCTGTTTCTCAGCAATTTTCTTTTTTAGGCGGCCGCATGCATTCCGGAGTAGTAATGGCCATGTATTTCATTTCCCTTTTGTGTTCTAATTCTTGGCAGTTTTCATTAAAAACTACTAGATCCACATTACACTTTTTACACTTCCCTTTTCTCGGTCTGACTTTTAGTTCCTGCCGGTAAACTTCATAATTAATTCTTTCTTTCTCTAAATATTTTTCTAAACTGGTTAAATTACTCAGTTTATAAACGTAAGGAGCAATCTTTTCCCCTTGTTCTTTTTTTAATATTTCTCTGACTATGCTATAATTTTTCGGAGTAATTGTAGATTTAATATAAATAAGTTTCATAATATAATAATTTTAGGAGAGAGATATCTCTGTCTAAGTTAATTTTTATTTTTTTTCATATTATTTTCCTCAATTTTTTATAACAAAATATAAGGCAATTACAAAATAAAGAATGCTAACTATTAATCAAGCCCAACCCATAGGGGTAAATCTTTGTTCTTCTTTAATGACAAAAAAATAGTTAAAAAAGGCATAAATAACTGGGCCTAGCAACATTATTTTTTCGGAGATATCTTTTAAGGATTTAAACATTTTCTAAACTGCCTAGTAATTTTTTCTCTTCCTCTAAATGCTTTTTACGAGCCATGGTTAAAATATTAGAAAACTTATTTTCTACAAATTTACCTCGGGAAAGAAAAGGGCAACCTGAAAAGTTTATCATTTCGCGGACAAGTCAACTTTTTTCCGGAAGTTGTAATTTATTTGGTTCATTGGGAACTAGTTTAATTTCTACTTGGATGACACCCACATCTTTTAAATCTTTATTTTTTTCTCACTCTTTTTTTGTTTCTTCTCATTCGGGAATGGTTAAAGTGTAATATTTTTTAGTTTCCTTCACTACTATTAGACTTTATTTTTTTCCTCAGTTAATGAGTATTTTCGTTGTTGAACAATTTCATCATTAACAAAAAGTTTCAAATGAATATGATCTGGGTTTGTTCCAACTATTTCTTGATTAACTGTAAATATATTATCCTTAAAAGTTAATTTCCATCCCGCTTCACTCTTTTCCATTTTAACTTCGTCCAAATTTACTGCTTCGTCAAAGAACGTGGCTATTACATGGTCGCCCTCATTTGTTCCCCAAACATTAATTTTAAGATCTATTTTTTGGTGAACATCTTTCTCTTCCAACTTTTTGCTTTCTAGCATTTTCCCATTAACAAATAATTCTAAATTATAGCCCAATTTGGCGTCAATGTCCTTAGCCGACACTTGGTTGGTATAAATTTCTCTGTTTTCTTTTTCTCCTGCCCCAACTACAATTCTATATATCCCTGAATCTTCATTGTTAACAAAAACTACTGTGACATCTTTTAAACTTATTTCTTTATCAGTGGAATGTTTGAAAACTGAGTGACCATTAAGTTTTAGTTCTACTTCTTTTTGGGAAACTTCTTCTTTCTGCTTAGCCTGATAGAGACTTTTTAATTTGGTATCTAATTCATTAGGATATTTCTTACTATAGCAATTAAAACAATATCATTTATCATCTGCGGCTTTAAATACATCATTAGTAAAATCGGGATGTAAGGCAATAGAATTTTGACAGTTGGCACATTTAATTTCTTCACCCTTTTCATTTTTGACTTTGGGGGCTTTTTGGAAGGCTTCCTTTTTTTCTTCTTCCAGCATTTCACTTATAAATCCAAATACTTCTTTGCCTCATAATTCACTATACATCTTGACATTTTCTTTTAATAAATACATCCGGCGGCGATATTCACCTAAGAATTGTTTTCTTAAGTTGGCTAATTGTTCCTTAGTTTTACCTAATTCAGTAGCATTATTTCGGCACGTTCTCTTGTGGCAAACTTCCTTTTCGCTTTCTTCTTTGTCATTTTTTTCTTTGGTTTCGTTTTTTTCCTCTAATTCTGTCATGTAGTGAGATTTAATTTAATTTTAAAAAGGAGATTTAGGAGCAACCTCAATCTGAGCCATTAATTGTTCCTTTCAGACTTGAATTTCCTCTAAATATTTTTGGAGTTGGCTATTTTTTTCTTTTTCTTGCTCTAACTCTTTTTGCAACCACTCTTTTTCTTTTCTTTCGTTTGCTAATTCGCGGCGGAGTTGTTCTTCTTTTTCTGACTTTTCTTTCTTACCAACCTCCACCCTTAAGGAAAAACCACCTCTTTTAATTTTTGAGTCCGAAAATCCTGCAAAATTTCCAGTTTGCTTTTGTGTGGATATCTAGGTGTAGCTTTTTCTACTTCGTCAATTCTCTTATCTAACTCTTTAATCAAAGCTTTTTTGTCATTATTTATTAAGTCGGGGTAATTAACTAATTTTCAAGCACGAATATCTCAATCGTAGGGTTCTAATGCGGCTTTTATAGGGTCTCTGGTCGGATCTGAATATCCTGGTTTGCTAGCGTGAGCGTAACCGCTACTTCTTCATTCTTCATAGGGTAAAAGTTGTATTCCTAAATAAAGACAATTTAATTTGTTCAAATCTAAATATTCTATTCCATCTTTAGGAATTATGCCATGATATTTGTCTACAACTCACAAATATTCTAAATTAGTGCAATGTTCCAAAGATTTAAAAGAACCATTGGCATAACCTAATTCCAATTTTTTTAAGTTAGTTAAGTGAGAAAAGGTTTTTAAGTCCAGAGTTCGAGCAGTTTCACCGCTGAGTTCAATTTCTTCCAATTTAGTGTTAGCAGTTAAATCTAAATTCCTTATTGGATCATACCCAAAGGCAGAAAGTTTAACTAGATTAGGAAAATCTTTCAAATCAAAATCCTCAGTGTCAGAAGAAGTGTAAATTATTAATTCCCTAATGGGAAGTCCGGCACACTTGCTAGTATCTAAATGGGGGAAAATACCAGCACGAATGTCTAACTTTTCCAAGTTAGTGAATGGCGATAAATCTATTTTACCTACTACTTTTCTATTTGTTAAATCATAGGCTAGAGTTAATTCTTGCTTATTATGTTGATTTCCGGCAATCGCTTCGGCTTCTAATTCTTGTGGCATAGTATTATAATATATTTTCTTAGTTTAGTAATTGATTAAGGCAATAATATACAATTTTACACCAACCAAAGTGGTCCGGTATTTTTGTCCGTATAAATGAAGAATTAGCAGGTTTTTTTAGTCCTAAAATGGCTAAAAAGTGGTCCACCTCCTATTTAGTGTAATTTCGTATATTATTGTCTTTTTTTATTTGATGTTGATAATTCAAACG